TAGTATGTTACCCGTTCTACAGCTGAAGGTGTTTGTTGAACAGCAATAGCTGCCAAAAGTAAACTGTCTTCAGACTCATCTCGACCGACGTAAAACTTTTTACCAACATCGCCTAATTGGAGTAAAAGTGTACCTGTATGTAAAAAAAATGTTTTTTATTTAATATGGATTCAAGCAGTAATAGTACTTTGATATGTGTATAATTTACCTATTGAAGCTATACAATGGTAAGTTTCTTGTTCTTCTGGTTGTGCAGGGAACATGTCATAAAGAGTTTTCCATAATGCAATGAAATGTCTTTGTGACATTTTTGGCACAGTTTTTAGATCCAGTGGGCTGTCTTTGGATGCTATCATGGAGCGTAAACTTCCCATGCTTTGAACTTCCCATGATTGATCTCCCTGGCTGGTCAAACTTGTCGATCGAGATAAAGTACCGATACTCGGTTCTTCCGCTAAACTAACTGGCATTTCTAAAGAAGCAACGCTTTGTTCCATACTGTCAAAAAAATCTGTAGCTTCTGCTGCTACTTCAGCACCATCTAATATTGATATGTTTAACTTGTCTAAAGTAACAATAAAGAGTTTCTTATTATAATGCTTTTAATTATAAAATAATATTTACCAGAATGCGTTGGCGATTCGAAATCAACAGGTGTAAGTAATGGTGGTAAGTGTAGAGTATATAAAAGTTTTAATCTTTGTGTTAAATCTGCAGTTGCGGTCATACCAATCGCTTGTACTAATTCCCGAAAGTTCAGTAGTCCATCACGATTACGATCCATTAACTGATATACAATACTACTTATGAACATTTTCTGTATTTGCTTGATCTTATTCAATAAAACTAACATACACATGGATGTTAATTCTCTAATATTATCTATTATTTTTCATAATTTTCTTTTTTGTTATAAATAGCTACACTTAAAAGTAGAAAATTATTTTGTAAAATTCGATTAACTTACACGAAATAATCGGGCGGCAAGAGATTCAGCTTGACTACATTTTCCCCATGGAGACAAGCCACCAAATAATATCCTAAATAGTTCAAAATCTACTTTATATGCCTCATAAGGTGGCTGCGTTGGATCATAACGATCAGGTTCAGATTTTCGTTGGCTCATTAATTCTTCTCTTACTAAACTTAACAAATCCTAGATAGTGATACCATTGTTTTTTAAGCATCTGTGTATTTTGAATGTATACTTTCTTAAATATATTAATACCTGCAGTTCTTCCATTGTCATATATTTGTCAACAACAACACTTCTAATTACATTTTTCTCAATTCCATCTTCCAAACTTTGAACTACCCTAAGCCTGTGTTTTAAACGAAGTCTTTCTATTCCACCAATAGTCAAAGATCCATATCTTGAATATGCTTCATATATTAAAGTCTGAACAGATATACTCTAAAATAATAAACACAAATAAAATCATGAATCTCCGTAAATATAACTAATGCATAAAAGCGTTTTTACTCTATTAGGAGTAGCACTATCAACTGGTCTAGGAAGTATAAGTCCTTCATCATTGAATACACCCCCAAGGTAATCTGTTAATAACTGCATTGCTTCACCATCGTCACAGCAATTTAACAATTTATCCTGATTCCACTCCAGTACTGTCAATGCTATCTGACACAGGAAGAAAGACCTGTTTACTTCAAATTTCCTCTGTATGTATTTTATTCTGTATTCATTAGAAAGGATATCAATAAAATTCAATATCTTCACTAATAAAAAATAATTAAGGAGCTAAAAACAAAATATATGTACATAAAATATGTTGTACCTGGAAAATTACTTTCGCTCCATCATAGAAAAAGCAATCCATTATATTTACTGCGCTACTAGTTGGCATAACACTTAAAAATATGGTTAAGAACCATGAAAGTGATATAACTTTAATGAGACCAAGTTCCTGCAATCTAGCATGTAAAGTTGGTAAATGTTCAGCAGCTAACTCTTCTAAAAGACCTTGGTCAACAAGAGCACCGACTACTCTTCTGTCATAATAATCAGGCAATAACGATTCACATACATTACATAACTGCCAGAAAGCAGATTCTTCTGAACAATAGATCAATAGAACTGAAGCCACTATATTCATGGCCTGACAATAGCCTGTTTTAAGACAATTAAGAATAAATAATTTTTGAAAACTTTATAATGACAAATTTCACGAATAATATTTTTACCGATTTGTGGATTTTTCCAAGCGTATGCAGAAAGAACTCTTCTTAAAGCACTGATACCAGTGTCAGATTGAAATGCTGGATGCTCGGGTAAAGAACGGTGCAAATCTCGTTCTATTTCTTCATTTGCTTGACAAGACTTACCCAATGATTGGTCAACTAACGATTTATAAAGTCCTGGATTCATTACCATTTCGTTTAACGCACCTAGAAATAAATTGGAGCTATGTTATACCATTCAATTATATGGTAATGATTATATTGACTGCATTACCCGAAAAAGTAAGCCAAACTTCTCCTCTAAGAGACTGTGGTATACCCTGAATTATAAGTTTTGCTGTTTCTGTTGTTCTGTACATTGTAATACCTCTACCATACTCTGCAAAATGGAGTTCCCATTGTTTTTCTTTAGCTTCTTGTTTTAGCGTCGCTTCATTGCTTAATGGAGCTTTAAACAGAGTCATTAATGGTGGTTGTGGTTTCCAGTCATTAGCGGTTTTAGTTTCCTCATTGTTGCTATTACTATGTAAACTATTATGAAAAAATGCGTGATCGACGCTCCTATTTGAAAATATATTAATTACTATATAGACATATTACATATTAAATTGTATGATCAAAACTAAAAATATTAAGTGGAAACTTACAAATTTGATAGTTTAGATTTTGCTAATAATTCAGATATTTTCTGAACAACAAAATCTCGATCGTGAATCTGAGCAAATAAAAACGACGATCGAGCAGTTGTTACTAGAATAGATTTGTCTATTCCTGTACTGGTTGACTGATTTTCAGCTGGTTCAATAAGCCTTACTTCTCTTAAAGGTATAACTAAACTTACTAATCCTCTTACCTACAATGAAATGGATATTGAATTACGTCATTAGACATAAAATTTATATATATTTATATTTATTTAAAATAATCAATATATTTACTCTGCTTTCAAAACAAAGATAATTCTGGGAAAGAAATATTTTTCCCCAAACATATCTTTTATTGTATGGTGTCCATAATGTTGCATCAATACTACCATCTAATTTTTCATTTCCTGGTAGTCTGAATTGTAATCTGTAGGCTTCAGAATGTGCTCTTGCATCAAGATCTCGTTTTAAAAAGGATGGTTTTTTAGGTACGTTTTTGCTGAAAATATAATTATCATTATAATCAATGTACACAAATTTTATTCAGAAACCTGTAAATGACTTCAAATACCTCAGTTTATTTAATAATTCTCTATCTTCGTTAAAGCCACTTTTTTCATCTATAAGCCTAGCAAGAATAAAATAACATTAATTTATGGAGCACATTTTCTATCTATATTCTTACACTCTTATCTATTGTATATAAATAATGTTACCTTTTCATAGCAATATTTGTAAGCTGCTCCATTAACGAATATGTATCTGATTTATGAAGAAACATTGAAAAATAATGCTGCAAATGAAATAAAATATTGAATGCTACAGATAATGTAATAATATAAATAATAAACAATCACAATATTTTATTTACCTCTTTATTGTCTCTAGTTACAACACGTATACTATCTGGAAATAAGATGGAATTAGTTTTGCTTAATTCAGTAATGTCTGCCCATCTTATAATTAATTTTGTTTCTCTTGCCAATATATAGGCATAAAAACACATATGATTTATTGATAAATATAACCACCCCTGTCTAGGCAAACGAGATTTCCAGTAACTAAAAAGATACAACGTTATGAGGTTTTATAAATTTTACTGAAATTTTATATACTTTTAAGTTAATTATACAAGTACCTGCATGAATAATAATTGACCAATTTATCTTCTTTTGGTATATTGAAAAGTTGATGAAATTTAAAAGATACAGTTTTAAATGATTCTGGATCTTCTTCTGTGGATAACATAGACTTCAATAATACTATACAAAAATTTTGTTTTTTGATCAATTTCTCATAATAACTTACCGTCAGCAAATTGACAGTCTGGTATATTATTTGCAATAATAGATTGTATTTTACAACAAACAAATTCAGTTATTTCTTCTTCAGTATCAAATGATGTTAATGTATCCATCAAGTTCGAGTGAAGCCATTCCCAATCTTGTAAAATTTCTTCATGTGTCAAGGAACATGCAACTGCTATAAGTTAAAAAAATTATTTTTAAAAGATTTTTATCTATAATAACAATTTCTTATACCAATATGATATGAAGAAACTATATAAAATATAAGTATTTTATCTTATTAATTTATATTGAAATATTTTACCCCAATAAACTTCTGATGATGGCGTTTGATGTAATATCCTAAATGGTGGAGGTTTAGTGTCAAAAACGCTATCCAATGTCCCTACCAATATAGAAGTAAGGCCTTTTGTCTTTCCATGTCCTTTACGGCGTTGTAAAACAAAATATACAGTTGCTTGTTCTGTTACCCTGCATGACAAAGACAACAAAATTCAAAGACAACATTCCTGTTTGAAAATCACTCTAACACATGAGATAAATTCTGTTTATTTCAAAAAACATAATAAAAAAGCTAGGTGTAATGTCAAAGTATTTTTAAAATACATAAGAGTGAAGTGTTATAAGCTCAATTATATGGTACATAAATCCTTTAAAGTAGAAACGAGTCATAAAAAATACAATAAAGATATGACAAATAAACTTCAGTAGTAAAGACTACAATTTTATTGTGCAAACCATAATATTACAAAAAAAAGGCAACAACTTTACATAATTTTATATTTACATTTTTGTAAATATCAGTGGTATCTTTCACCTTTTTTCATTTATATTTTATTCATAAATATCACCGAATGAGAATGAATCAATGTCATAGATAATAATTGACGAAATGATTCCAATAGAGCGGATGTCTGTTATCGATAATAAACCATATACACCCTCCCACATATAATGTATTATAATTTATACTCCTACACTGCATGATATATAACGTAAGAAAATACATCTAGCGATGATTTACGGTTCTAACGATAGTAACTCTAACTAACAAGATCTAACGGACACATAACGTTTAATACCGTCAAATATATTTATGATATGTAAGCAAATAATATTATGTTAAATACAAAAATGACAAATCAATTAAAAAAAGATAATTATTTTTCTGTTTAGACTAGCATATACATAAGCTCGTAGAACTCTGGCAAATAAATAAATGCTCAAAAATTACTTAAATCCTTGAGTATACGTCTGTCAGCTGTCTTTGACGTACGATGTAAACAGTAATTGTAACAGAACATTGAACATCGTATACACGTATCAATTTACCAAAGAGCATTTGCCAGTAGAACTTCTTGTGGCTTCACCCACATATTGACCACTGTTCTTCCAGCACATATGGCACTAACGATACGAATTCAAGCACACTTTATCCAAGACACTAGCAAATTCGTCGTCTGGTCAGCAGAAAAAAATACTTGCCAAAGATAAATACTAACATGAACTCCACTACGAGTCGGTCGTTGTCAGTTGCGTCGATTCCTGCAATTTCGCCATATTCTCAATCTGAAATGTTACTAAGTATTCAATATTCTTTTTTTACAAAAAATTTCTTATCTTCTGAGAAACATTTTAACATTTCTTATATATTATACAAATTGAATAAAATATGATTATAAATAATATTATTGCGACATGTAAATCACTATATCAAAATTTATAAATAAATAATTATGTAATTATTAAGTTAATATCATTTTTTACAATAATAATTGTTAACGTATTATGTATGTGTACATTTATAGAGATTTAACAGTATTTGACGAAATTTTAGAAAGATAATTTTTACTTTGCAGTAAATATATTGCAGGTAGATGTCGCCTACAATTTCTAATTCATGTAAAGTAATAACCAACCGTGGTAGTAAAAATTACGATACGGTAGAAGTTGGGGTACGGGAATAAGCTACGTCTTCTTGGGAGATTTTTCATTGCAGAGAAAATGGCGTCTCTCGCAAGAGTTCGTCTTTTAATGAGAAATACCGGTACATTTGGAAATTCGATTAGACAAACGTGCTTACGTAGTGCCATTACACAACTTCAATTAAATGAACGATTTTTTCACTGTAATAGACAAAATATCATTACGCATGTACCACAGGTAAACACTGCCTTTTTCCATGTTTTCATAAACTCTGGTAATTCCTACATTGTACTTCAATTTGAGCATTACATAATCAAAATATCTTGAATTTTAAGAAATCAGTGAATATAAATGTATTCAGAGTATAAGATTCGGAATATTTCATTCGTTTAGTATGTATGTTATGTTTTAACTAGATTGAATATCTGTAAAGTAATAGAGTCAGTAAAGTAAAGTTCGATCTTACGACACCAATATTTAAATTTTCTTTCATTAACGTTATCATGTTCGAGAAATATAGAGAGTTGTCATGTTATATACTCAAAATCAATACTTCTCCTATTCGTCTATAATGTCTATTAAAAGCTTTGTAATATATATATAATAGAATTATTATAATTGTGTTAGTTGTATATATGTTCTATTTATTTAATGACACGTGAATAATATATGATGATATTCTACATATAGGTAAACATACAATCTGTACGTCTGTACTGTGCAACACCTAAAATTAAGGAACTTGAAGATCGTGTTTTAAATGTGGTCAAAGCTTTTGATAAAATAACTGATAAAAAGGTTTATATACAATTATATATTTTTTTTTACATATTATTATTTTACAGGGCACACGAGTCAAGCAGGTGCGTCAGTACAGTCATGCTGCACCATTATCGCTTGATCTTATTCGCCAGCGTGTACTGTTAGTACTCAATCTCTATGATAAAGTCGATCCTCAGAAGGTATCTATTCACAAGATAATATAACATTAAAAAATACTTGCGAAAGTATTGTGCAAATGATAAAATTTACCAATTTCTGTTGAAAATTGAATTTTTATAAGTTTATTAATCATATTTTATATATATTGTAATATTTAATAGCATTATCATTCATTTTCTATATCTGTTGAAACACCTTGATATAGATAGCTTCTCAGAAAAAAGAAATTATTAATTAATACCTCGCTTGAATCGTAGTGTCTTTGTAATAAATCAATACATATATATATATATATATATATATATATATATACACACACACATATATGTGTAAATTCAATTATTTACCAATTTTTGAAGCGTATTATAATTAAAAAATTAACTTTGTGCAGTTATCTTTGGACTCTCATTTTATCGACGATCTTGGTTTGGACTCCTTAGATCACATAGAAATTATAATGGCCATGGAAGATGAATTTTGCTTCGAAATACCAGATATGGATGCAGAGAAACTTTTACGACCTAGGGATATAGTACGTTACGTTGCCGATAGGGAGGATATTTACGAATAAATATGCACATAATATAAGTCATCTCATTAGACAAGTTTTTTATTTTTAAAATCATTATATTAGAAAATAAAAGTTAGACTTTACTTATTCCGTATATAATATAAGTGTAATAAAAATAAAATGAATCACTAGATTGAATCTTAAATTATATTGCCTTGTATTTATTCTAATTTAATATCAAATAAAAAAGTATACGTCTATTGCATATTTTTATTTCATATGTAAACATCAAAGTATACATTATTTTTGAATGGAGAACCAAGTGCCACCTAGTTGTAATGGCAGTGATATGGTGTCGCTACCCTCTACTAGGCCGACATTACGACACTCAGATCTTTTTTTTATTTGATTCAATCGAACGTGCACGCTAATCGAGTGCAACAACTGGAAAAATGAAGATGGCGGACGGATGTGTATTCTTCAGAAGAAATAGACCCGGAACTACAGCAAAGGTTAATAAAAATGTTAACTTTCATGAGAATTTATTGTTCTCATGTCCTGTAGGCTATCGTTCAATGATGGTTCGATTATGTACAACGTATTTACAGAAATATCCAAATGCGTTTTTGACATATCTTTGGAAAATCAATGAACGCTCTATAAAGAAATTATTGTTTACAAACTAATAATTTATTATATTTCGTTTACATTGTTTTAAATTTTCAGTAACGTACTAATCGTGTCTAAATGCTAATACGCCCATAGTTACATATTTGTAGAAATACATTTTACTGATAAAGATATAGATTTTGATAGATAATATTTGGTACAATATTTACTACTTTTTAATAATTAAGTAATTATTATAATAGATTGTACACGTAATAAATGAGCCATGTAAGTGACACTGATTGTTCATTTCTTATTAAACATTCTTAATTTAGGAACCTTCTTTGTTTAGAATTTCTGTAGGTGGCCTGATGAACCCTTTGAAGAAATGGACAGCACGCTGGCCGTGCAACAATATATTCAACAGATGATTAGAAGAGATCCATCTAATGTCGATCTAATATTGAAAATGCCAGAAGCACAAGATGAAGCAGTATGGAAATATGAACATTTAAGACAGTTTTGTATGGAACTCAATGGTTTAACAGTAAGACTACAAGCAGAATGCCATCCAGAAGCTTGTACTCAAATGACAGCTACTGAACAGTGGATATTTCTGTGTGCTGCACATAAAACACCTAAAGAATGTCCAGCTATTGATTATACACGACATACACTCGATGGTGCAGCTTGTTTGCTTAACAGTAATAAGTATTTTCCTAGCAGGTATATAAAAATAGTATCGAAAGATTATTGTAGATAATTAGAATATATAAATATTTTTTATCTATCTCTCTATTTCTTTATGTTTTATTTCAGAGTAAGTATCAAAGAATCTTCAGTAGCAAAACTTGGATCTGTTAGCCGGAGAGTTTACAGAATCTTCTCTCATGCATATTACCATCATAGAACAATATTTGATGAATTTGAGAATGAGACTTTTTTATGCCGCAGGTAGAATGATTAATCATAAAAGCATAGATAGAAATATCAGTATTTTATTAATTCATTTATTTTGATTATTAATCTTTTTTGTTTTAGGTTTACAGCATTTGTGACAAAATATAATTTGATGTCAAAAGAAAGTTTAATAGTACCAATTATGGAAGAAGAAGGAACGACAGAAAGTGAAGCGTAGAACTTGAATGTTTATTTATATTGTCCAAAATTGATTTGTCAAATTTAAGGTGGTATTGTAGTCTAGAAATTTGAAAAAAATCGAAATTTTTTTTTCATATTTCCAAAGTTTAGACATTCAAGAATATGTCCTTAAAAGGATTTTTCAGAATTTCAACTATTTTATGAGTTACAGCCATTTTTGTGACGCAGCATCTGCTTCGGTCCGACCGGAACAAATGAACAGTAGACGGTAGACGGTGTCCGAGTAAACTTGTCTCAAAACTTTAAACGCGTTTTTCTCGAAATTACTTTTTTTGAGTTGGCGTGCACGATATCTCAATTTCTAATGAACCGATTTATTTTAAATGTGATCTGAATATTCCTTATATACTCCTCTATCGTCCGGACCACGCTCAGCTCAAAATCTTTAATATTACTATTTTTTAAACGTTCGGAATTGTCAAAAAAATGTGCGAAATAAGAAATTTTTTTTTAAATGGCCGTCATTTTGTGAAAAAATGTTGTATTGACTTTTCCAAGATTCAGACGATAACGACATCCATACTAATTAAGAATCTGTTCGCTTTTTTTGTTTCAAATGACTAGAAGGGTTGATATCATGCACGCCACGACACCCCATTTTTTTGGCAGCACCCACTTTGCCGGCTCATAAATTTTTAAATATTGAGTTTTTTGCAACTCTTGAGCATTTAGCAACAAATGCTAAAAAGGAGGATAGCAAAAATATTTTTTGTTTCGCTTGTACAGAGCTTCAAAAATCGCCCGAAATTCATGTCTCTAGACCAGAATACCCCCTTAATGAAATCATTGGTAATATTGATATATCGCTGAAATATCTCTTGTAGTTATAATTATTACAAGAGTATTGAAAATTTTTGCTAATCTGTCTAGAAATATATTATTAGAATTTCTTGTTATTAATTGAATTAAGATTCATTTTAATACAGTCTTTGCTAACAGGAATTTATTGTATAAAGTAACTTTTCTTGCTTAAAAATTATATTTATAGTATTTACTTATCATTGAATGTGTAAAGTGTGGAAGGTATAGTTGAAGTTATGATCCAGCCATTACTAAGTCTTTGTATAAAGATGAATTTATTTTAAACAAATGTATTATACCTTCTACACAATACATTAAGTTAAAATAATTCTGTACTAATGAATTTTACATGAGTTTACGTTGTTAATGTAACAAAATAGTTTTAAACATTTTTGAAAACATAATTTTACCAAATGGCATTTCATGAAATAATATAACAAGAAATTCAAGAAAATTTAAAGTAAAATTATTCAGTCTTTTACATAGCATATCTTTATATATTTTGTACTTTCTTTTTTGTATAAAAATATTTAATTTTATTGAAACTAATTATAAATTTAGATTTCTTTTTTGTAAGTAACCTTATTACGATGTGTTTGACTAATTCGAAATCTAACATTAAATATCGATATTTTTTTCTTACTTCATTGAGTCATCATAAAAAAATGGATATATTTACTGTAGCAAACGTTATCAATATAACGTAACTATAATCATCGTGCAGTAACCAAATGAAGCAAACACTTATATGCATTATTAGTAATGATAGTAAATGTGTAGTGTTCTTATTTATAACATATTTATCTTATGTGGGATTGAACTTAAAATGTTGACTTTCTTCTCCTGTTACCGGTATAACTCTTAATATCGTATAGTCCGTTTAAAAACGTTACATTTTTATTGTCTGTAAAGTATTAAACATAAGAAGGATGATACAGACCTGTTATATTATCAGGGCACACACGTTTTTAAAAATGAGACTAGAGAATACAAGTGAATATTATTTTTTAGTTTCTTTTATAATCATTTATCTATATTAATTGACATTAATTTTTTACCGATTAATAATTCTGCCAATGAGAAAGTTGAAAGTGTTCTCTAGTTTTCTCGGTAAGAAAAACAATATCAGTGCTGGGAGATTATCCATACTACTGCCGAATACTTAAGCTCCATAATAAGTAGTTTATAGTAGTAATTGACATAATATGAAAATGAAAAAAAGAATTAAGAATACTTTGGAATTTATTGGTTTATTAATGTATCAATCGCGATTAATTCAAACAATGTTTTTTGTAAGCTTATACGAATTTGATACTAAGAATATATTATTACAAAAAAGAAACAGAAATAATTGCAAAAATGTACTCTCTTCCAGTTTCACCAACGGTGAGAAACATAATCATCATGAAAGAATTTTTTAGTAATTTCATTTACTGTTGGTGAAATGTGATGTTTGCTAATCGTCTATTGCGAATAACTTTTTCTAAAACCAAAAGACAGAAGATCTTACAATTAAATTTCTGTAGAAGGCACTGTAATTTTCATAGTGTATGTTATAAGTCCGCAATGTGCATGCATGCTATTGTAACACTGTATATATAATTTGTAAATAAGAAATCTAATAACGATAAGATCAGTTAATAGAGATTGGAATATGAGAAATACACCGAAAGCGCGTGATTATTTCTGTAATAAACATGCATGTACTGACAAGGAATAAACTTTTTACTTAATAAGAATCATTGTATCGCTCTTTCATGCGCATAAAACAAATATGATAGAATTAAAATTCTTACAAATGTACAAATTTTCGAAGAAAATATGATTTTTTATTTAAAATTAAAAATTTTTGTCTCTGATTATATACGAGTTATTTCAGATAGAATTTTATATACAATACAATTTAATTTCTCTCGCTTGTATTATCGACCATCGTTTGCTCTTTTCCTACTCTTTTTTGGTGGTGCTTCTGTTTGCCCTTTCGTTTGCTCTTTCTTTGGCCTTTTTTGACCAGCCCTCAATCCCATAGCTGCGAATTCCCCAGCATCCACGCGGGTCACATTACTACCTGCTTCCTGTTTCTTACCTTTGCTCTCGTTTTTCATTTCTTGGCCATTTAAGAATTCTCCATTATCACCAGGCGCCTGGTAGCTGTACATTAACATCAGGAATATGATATAACAATATAGTTATAAAATTTTACAAAATAAATATTTACCCAGGCACTGATGTGTCTTTTACTTCTTTTGCAAGCAAAATAAATATTTCCGGGACGTGATAAATTTGTACATTTTCGGCGGATTCATTCTCCTTTCTCTTCTCCGACTCCTTCGACCTTTAATAATACATGTACCTCAATTAAGAAACAAACAGAGACTATCATTTCTTTCCGTGTTATATAACTTACTGTATAAAACGTATTTTAGTGATTTGATGAAGATCTTTTTCTTTCGTTTTGAAAATTTCCGCACAGGAAATAGCTTTCCCAACAGCTTTCCCTACCGCATTCCAAACAACGTTGTTATAATTTGAGAATTCTTTCAACGCGTAATCGAGAACATTTCTAATTTTCGAGCCACTTCTTACCTGAAAACATTCTCATTAAACAACATGCTATGAAAATGTTGACACTGTTAATCTTTTATGAACTTTTATTTCGACATTTACTTGCATTAGAAGAAATTTTTCTGGTAAATCTGGTATAGGAATTCCCGAATCTGTTGGCTCAGGCTCCATATCTTGCATCCATTTCTTCTTATTCAATTTTGGTCGGACCATCTGCAAGAAAATCAATCAGTTACTGAATGAATATTTATTGAGATTTTTACGATCTACTAAGATTTCGAAAAAATATTTCTGCTGATTTTCGTAATCTTAAAGAGAATTATTACGAGGGTAGAATCATGAAAGAGCGGAGGAGACCACGTCTCTCTGCCAGTAGGTCATGAGTCCGCAGGCATCGGTTCTTCGGCGTGCCATTCTTGGAACCATTCATGGAACTTGGAATGACCGAGTACAGTCTTGCACATAAACCTTTCTCGGTTTCATCCTATCTTATCTTCTCTTCTCTCATACAGGAATATTTAAATATCTACAATTCCTTCAAGTTGCTAATCTTGAACTTGGCTTACATCAGATTCGATTATATTTTATATAATAAATAAAAATCAACTTATTTCCATTAGAGGTGTAATCAGTTAAATGTACATTTATTTTTATTCTTATTAAGATAAAATCAATCAGTGTACAGTAAATTTCACTTTCTTCAGTTACTTGTAATTCGACGCCAGTCTAAACGATATGTCGCGTTTCAAGTGGAAAATGACCATCATTGGTCAGACACGGCGCTCCGAAACCATACCGATACCTTCACTCTGTTAAAAACAATTTAATCCTTTCAAGATACACTTTTTTGACGAATGAACGCGACAGCATAATAGCGTAGAATATAATACACTCGAGTTTGAAAAAGTACAAGCTGATTATAATTTTTTAAGTGACATATTGAATTACGTTTTGTCGCTTAGCGATATAATAATTTATATTCCTATAGATCTCAGTGGTATCAGAAAACTTATAACTTGTCTCAGTTGTCTTAAAAGTTAATTTCCATTTCTACAATATAAGAAATAAACAAAGACCTATATAGAAGAAATCTTGCATTAACGAATATCACATTCGCTCCTATTCAATCCACTGTCATTCGAAAATGAAATTTCATAGATTCAACGATCGAGACAATTTGACGATCATCGTTTAATATCGATTCTCCTTAGCACGAAACTGAGACATCCTTCGAAAGATGAACAAAGAATCTACCTACGAAATAAATTTCCTACCCTAGAACGTCGATATTTAATTATAACAACCCTTAACCATTCAAAAATCGAGACTTTATATATTCGACGACCAACGTACGATTCGACGATCATCAATTAATATCAATCTTCCCCAGAATGAAACTGGGACGTTTCTCGAAAGTTGGCGTTCAGTGTAATTTCTGGAATTCCGAGGCGAACTTGGAAAAAGCATCGGCGGTCTGAGGGATCCCCTATGGAAACTCCATCAATATTTTCCAATCAGCATTCGATTGCACGGTACATCCCTACCCCTCTGGCTTGTTCGTAGTCGGGGGCAAATACGGAGGGTGTAAGGGGGTCGCAGTGTAGGCGTATATGGTGGTGGTATGCGGCATAGTCGGCATAGCGCCGCGACTCCCCGACGCCATATTGCATTATTAAGCACCCCTATCAGTTTCTCACCCCTGCATTCCAGCATTATGAACGTTTTTATCCCTAAAGGGCGTCGTTTTGCCTATGTGAAACGAAACGGCTGCTTCCACTGGTGGATACTAATTCGATTCTCACGTTATTTCATCAAGATCCTTGATCCTTGAAAAACCTCTGATCGTTTCTTCGCGCGTCAACTTCTTCATCTATGGAAATTATACCGGTACGCGTATCCGGAAGAATTTGTTGGACAGATACCGACACTTCTTCCGATCGATTACGATTAAAGATTTAGGCACGGAGCGCTTTCGATGTACGTCTAGTTCAGTGTTCGCTACGTCACAAATCATTATTTGTCCTATATCGGATACAGAAACTGTTACGTTAGGCTCGTGCACGTCGATGGCGGCAGATAGATAGTCGACAACATCGCGTTTGCGTCGTTGAATTACGATTTCTATGTTAGTGTGAGACTTTGTATAGAAGGAAAGTAACTTGTTAAAAGGAACTAATGGTAAACAGAATTTCCAGCGTTTGATCGTTCAATCTATAACGAGGAAATGTGTTTCATCGATGTCGGTGAACTAGTTAGAGACATTGTTTCTTAGCCATCGAGTGTTTCTCGCTATTCGACCCGATATGTTTTGTTCGAGCAACGAAGGAAACTAATTTCGACGTGACGGAAGATCTGACGAGATTCTTCATGTATCAGAGGATTCTCTAAACGAGAGAACGAAAGGTCAAGGAGTTCCGGACCACTTTTGGTGCAGCTGCATCGCTACGACTTTTAAAGGGAGAGGGGACGAGATATTCTGCGTCTGACACCTTTTTAACCATACCTACGCGCTCTTTTCCCACCGTAATAAACCATCGGGCGCTCAGAAGCCTTGCTTCCAATTTATTCGAGTGGCCAACTCTTCTATGGAGAAGACGCTCAACGATTTCATCGCCAATGAACGGCGCAAGCCGTTTTCAGAAGTTTTCCTCCAATACCCCGGAGGAGAACTACGCTCCCTCGAACGATTGTATGAACATTTCCGAGTCAATCGACCTGCAGAATGAAGTTTCCCCGCGCGAAGACCTTCCTATTCCCTATTTCATCGTATGACCTATTACGAAATCAAACAACCATCCAACGATGCCTTCTTAAACAAGTTCGTTAGAACTCGTTGTTTCGTTAAGAAACCGTGCTCTTCTCATTGATAATACACGTAACGATAAACTATGTAATCAGTGAATGTCACAGATACGACTGTAAATTGTAAAGTCTACCATTACATCACTTTCTGGAATCGTCTATGGAACATCGTCAAGTTCATTATCGTTCAAGGACACCTCTTAGAAGCTTGCCAGATTGCTAGAAGATTGCAGCTAATCAGAAGCACGTGTCACCCTTCGTAAAATTCCGTCCAATCTAACGATCTATATGATCAAAATTATATTCACCGGTAGAGAAGTAAAGAACGAATTTTCAAAGAATACACGATTTTGACTAGGCGCGGCCGTTAAAGTTTCGTAAGAAAGAGCAGGCATGAGGTTACTGATTGAACGAAGGGCAGTCGGTACCCTTACGTGTCTATTTCGATCTTCCCTTTAACGGAAATTGCGTTCCTAGCCATACATAGATCCACCCATTTCTCCCGCTCGTCCTTTCGAGGATACGCTAAGAAGATCGCACGGAAGGACGCGTTTGCGCAGGAATTGAAGAATCCTCGCTCCCTGGATCCTCGATATATCCGCGGTGGTAGGCGAAAGTGCGGATTGTTCGGTCGTGGCTCATTCAACGTACACCGGTTGGACCTTACGATCTTCGTCGTCGTCGCTAGCAACAGGTAGGACGGTCTTCCGCGTGGGGACTACGAATTTTCGTTCAAGTCCTTCCGATCGTGACAAAAAGTGAAATTACAAAATATATCCAAACATCTTTCCGCATCGTATAACGAGATACTGCGGTAATTTTTTTTACGTTTTTAAGGAAGCAAGAGTGTCTGTGTCGAGGGTTGATCCTTCGAGCGAATACAATTCTGCATTCATCAATGTTCTCACCAATTAGTTGTCTTTATTCGACGTGTTGTTCCAGTGAAACTAAGAAAGTTTCTGTAATATCTTTATCGTATCGTTTATCCCTTTGTCGACGACCGACGTATATATACGTTCAGTGCGAAGCATCAACGTAGCCGGCAAATCCATATATTATACGTTCGACGAGAACGAATGATAAAGACGAAAGACAAAAGTTTGCGCTTTTGACGAGCAAAATATTAAAATTTTCCTTTCGCAAATTGATAGGAAGATTGTAATTTTGAAGTTACTGAAAGTAAGAGTGTCTATGTAATTCCGCGTTTACCAATTTCTTTAATTTCATTGACGAATTAATCGTGTCGCATTTAGTGGCAGATACAGAGTGGAAAAGGGTTCATCCTTATCGAGCTTGTGACAGATATTACTATCGAATTAACTAGAAAGTAGAACAACAAGTAAATTCGTGATAACTGTGACGATAAACGAAATCACGTTCTATCCAAAGGTTTTCAAGGACCAAACAGATCATCATGGACATTCAGGAGTTTCGCATGCGTGGCAAGGAGATGGTGGAGTACATTTGCGAATTTATGAGTAATATTCACAATCGGAGAGTAACACCGGACGTTGGCCCCGGATATTTGAGACCCCTCCTACCATCGGAAGCACCGCGGGAACCTGAACCTTGGGAGGACATCATGAGGGACGTCGAATCGAAGATCATGCCCGGAGTAAGTGAAAAGTAGAATCACTTTTCATTCTCTGTGACTTTGATAATGTTTACAAGTGATGAAAGAATTTTAAGATTTTGACAATGAAAAGAAAAACAACGTGTAAATAAAAAGAGATGGATAAAAGGAGCAAAAAATATTTATAGATAACTCACTGGCAACATCCACGGTTTCACGCGTACTTTCCAGCTGGAAATTCTTTTCCATCGATTCTTGGCGATATGTTGTCGGATGCAATAGGTTGCATTGGGTTTTCATGGGTGAGTTCAATATTTTTTTTTCTTCCTTTCGAGAAAATTACTTAACATCCGCGTTGCGTATGTAACGTCTCTATAAATATATGTTACGAATATAACATTTCCGAGGATGCTGAAGTCGCATCGATACACGAAATTCAATTTTCTCGCGAAGATCAGGGTACGAAGAACATGGATTAGAAAGATTTGACGGATCGCTCAAGTCTGTTTGTTCGTTCATTTCTGTATTTCGACGTTTTATTTGTTCTAGGCGGCCAGTCCAGCCTGCACGGAGCTCGAGACGATAGTCTGTGACTGGTTCGGTAATTCAATATTATTCCATTAAATATCAATCGAATTTATATGAAGTATTACAGAACGAATATCATCGGGTATACTAAATTACAGGCAAAGCTATTGGTCTACCGACGGACTTTCTTTATTTTAGCCCTGGTAGCAAAGGAGGTGGTGTGATACAAGTAAATACTTTGATATTTTACGAGAATTAAACACTTTCTGCTGGATTAATTAAATAACCTAATCGTTATATATAAATCGTAGGCTATGAGATAACAGTTAAACGAATTTTAGGGCTCAGCTTCGGAGTGTGTTTTAGTGTGTATGCTGGCAGCAAGAGCACAAGCTATCGGTAGATTAAAAGAGTTACCTGCTCACGCACATTTGGACGAAACTGCTCTTTTAGGAAAATTAATGGCTTACTGTAGTCGCGAAAGTCACAGCTGTGTCGAAAAGGACGCGATGATCTGCTTCGTAAAATTAAGGATTTTGGAGCCCGACGACAAGAGCGTTCTTCGTGGTGAAACTTTGCGTCAGGTAGAATTTTTCTTTCCGATTATATTTATATTTAACACGTTCGCTACCACAGAGAATTGGTGATCGAATTGTATTAGAAAATTCTCGTAATCTTCGCTTGTATGATACGTATCGTTGTATGTTTTAGCAAGTTATATACGCGAAAGTGATATAGCAAACGTGTTGATTTTGATTAAAAGTTCCTTCTTCGTCATCGTGCAATTTTCTTCAGGCAATCGAAGCTGATACAGCCGAAGGATACATCCCCTTTTTCGTTTCAACTACTTTAGGCACAACTGCTTGTTGCTCCTTCGATAATCTCAGAGAAATCGGTCCAGTTTGTAAAAAATATCCAGGCGTAAGAACATTTGCGATTTTCAAGCTACGTTATCGCGTATATTCAGCCCCAAAATTTGTATTATGGCTGTCGATAGGTATGGTTACACGTGGATGCGGCTTACGCAGGCAACTCGTTCATTTGTCCGGAACTAAAGTACCTGATGGCTGGTATCGAATACGCAGATTCTTTCAACACCAACACGAACAAATTCCTATTAACGAACTTCGATTGTTCCTGTCTCTGGGTTCGTGACAGATTCAAGCTGACAGGCGCGCTCGTCGTCGATCCTCTTTACCTGCAGCATACTCACGCGGATACAGCCATCGATTATAGGTACTATCGATTTCATCGACGTTGTTTATTTCATTAAAAAAAAAACAAGCATCGTTTGTTCATTCAACATCCGTTATTTTTAATTTTTTGTTTGCCCAGACACTGGAGCATACCACTGAGCCGACGATTTCGTTCCTTGAAGCTGTGGTTCGTGATGAGAAGCTACGGGATATCCGGTTTGCAGGCCTACATTCGAAATCACGTTCAATTGGCGAAAAGATTCGAGGCGTTGGTGAGGAAGGATTCGAGATTCGAGCTCTGTAACGAAGTTGTGGTGAGCGACTCGCGAAGACAATACGAAGACAGCAGTGAATCAAGGCTTGGAGTCAAGGTTTATCGCGTTACCAAGTTTTATTGTATTAAATGGTTTTCAGTTGGGCCTGGTTTGTTTCCGAGCAAAAGGCACCGACAAGCTAAATCAGAAGCTTCTCAGTGCTATCAATGATTCTGGAAAGCTGCATATGGTGCCAGCCAGAGTGAATCAACGCTTCACGATTCGTTTCGCACTTGCTGCGCCGAATGCCACCGCTTCTGACGTTGGTTAGCAATATCTTGCTTGATAATACCATTCTTACACGTTTCTTTTACTCAATTTTTACTCTATTACTCAATTCTTATTTTTATATCGTAGACATAGCGTGGAGCATAATCACGGATTATCTAGCTGAGTTGTTAGAGTCCAAGGTGAGCGAAATCTCTCCAATTGGAATTTCGTTTCGCTCTTTGAATGTTCTTGCGTATTACGTGTATCTTTATTTTATCTTCAATTGCAGGATGTCATGGACGAGTTGACACAGAGGAAAATGCTCGAGGAGAAGAAGAGAGCCACTTTGGAGCAAAGAAGGTCCTTCTTCGTCCGCATGGTGTCTGATCCTGCGATTCAGCCTGGTTTTACGAAGACGCCAAACAGGACAGGGGGAAAACTCGATACTCAAGCAACCATCGGTGGTATCGGTTCGAATCCTACGAACAGCGCAACGTAAGACTTTGCTGTATCCTTAAAATGGATTACAGAGATTTAACAAAATCACTGATTTAGTATGTCTGACGGTAGACGTTCGTGGATATCGTGGCCACTAGCGTATCTGATGAAGGACGCCGCCGATACTAGCGAACTATCTCTTAGGCACGTTGGAAAATATTCTGCAAATTTCTATTTTATCTTCTCTTCCTCTCTTTAAAACGATATTTCACATTTTTCTTCTTTCCTATAACGAGATCGAAACTTTGCATTTACATCGAATATTCGAAATCGTCCTTACATCGTGTTTTCTTATTAATCGAAGGAAATAATTTTAGATTTCGTCATCTGGATACCATGGTACGGCTGAAAGCAAGCGGTACCGGAAGTCGTCGCGGAAGCAGCAACGGATGCAGTCCGGATCCATCGCCATCCGCTTCGCCGTCCCGTGGAAGATCGCCAAATGGCAGAGCGTAAAACCTTGCCCGATCCTTCATCGTTTTTTTTTTCTCTAAAGTTTCGAAAGTTTCTCCAGATACATTGACAGGAATGAAACTTATATAACGAAGCAACAACGATTCTCGCAATCGAATCACGTACGGATACTGCCGACGGAATCGTCGATTAAAAAGAAACGGTGCAAGATTCTCAAACAAGAAAATTCCCTTAAAATTGCTCAGCAACAGTCGACGAATGAAAATATGGTCGAAATTGATCGACGACCCTGTTTGATCGTGGCATCGTTTTTCGTCGCCTGTTTAGTTAGCCCTTCGGGACTGTGTGCAGTAGTTGCAAAGTTTCGCGTTCACGGCTCGACCGAAGGAAGCGGCTCGATAGATATAAGTACATCATCTTTACTTGCTTATCGATCTGTTTATATAAGTGTGCTCTCTTTGGATCGCGACAGAATCGTGTACCACGTGAAACACGCTACGTATGTAACATATTATTCTATCCAATATACATTACCTATATGATATATAAAGCGTGCTCTATATAGTAAAATGGATTTCTTCAAGTACAGAAACCATGGTATTTCCAATTATTCACCACATCATCTGCAATCGTAATTGTTTTCTGTCGTTATAGAGATGTCTGTGAATTGGCCCGGGCATGGAGTTAGAAAGGGGGAGGGTGGGCAGTGGAATAAAAAAACATGAAACGGAAACTCGTATCGCGGGAATATCGAAAAAAGGTCATAAAAAGCTATTCGTTACACGATCGAAAAGGTTGGGGTCACGAGGGTGAACGATGTACCTGGACCGTTTGCTCGGATATCGTTCTCTCTCTTTTTCTCTCTTCTAAGTATCCAGTGACATTTATATTCAATTTCGTTTCGATTCCATTTTCGTAGAACTTATTTGCGAAAACGGCATCTTGTTATGAAAACGAAAACGTGGCGCGTGGCTCAGTCATCACCCGCCGAAAGATGCTACGTCAAGCGAAAACGCGTAATCGTAAATTGGTTCACTGGAGAAGGGGAAACTGTCGATAATGTCGATCATTGGCAGAATATTGGTAATTGAACGAGCGACAAATACTATCCCTTACGTAGGCTGTTGCATATTAACAGAGATCAAAGGATAGTCTCCAATGTCGAAAAATAAACGAGCGTAACTTATTGTAAGAAAAACCCATCACGAGAATACTTCTACCTTTTTTTTTTCTTCTTTAGTAAAAGATGCAACACCTACAAATTCTAACTAGCTAAATAATTCGATAATAAATAGAAGAAAATATGAAAACAACGGTTCAACGATAGATCGAATATACTTCTCTCCCTCCTTATGAAAATTACATTTAATTGTTTTAAACTATGAATTCAATTTACTTCGATCTCCCCGGGAAAGTAGCTTTCTAATTGTTTGGGGTATAGCGGTTTTTTGATCGGCAACTTGCCCGAAGCTAACGCGAGTCAAATGGACAATGGCCGGCGGAAAAAAGGGGATCAGCGGTGGAATTAATTAATTCGAACTGAATGGCAATCGTATCGACACCCTCGATCGAGAATCCAATTCGAAAACGTCGGTCGCGAGCAGACCATGCGTGAAGGTAGTGGCGAGAGAGAAAATGGTGTTCGCCATGTGTCTGCTTGTATGTGTTACAAAGATTGAGCGGTGACCTGTCACCGCTTCTACGGGGTGTTGTAAATGTAGGTGAAGAGTAAACGTCTATTTATAAACGGGGGAGGAGGGGGCGAGTTTACTCCCCGTGCATCATCGACAACACGCTGGCTTATTCAAGCAGCGACCCCCTCGATACATCACCATTGATGTCGACCACCCTTCTTACGAATTTTCGTTCAGATTTTTGGCATCGATCCGCGACCACTATCCGCGCGGGTGGCAATCGATTTTCTAATCGTCGAATTAACTCTCTTCGAACGATCGGTACGAAACATGCCAGAAATTTCAATTATTGTTGTTTCCTTTTCTGAGAAAATAATTAAAAACAGTAACGGAGGTATCCTCAGATGAAATAATTTTTAGTGAAATCTTTTAGGTATAAATTGCAAAAAAGCAATTAAAATTTAGTAAAAAAAAAAGAAGAAAAATGTTCGAGCGAGAAAATTGACAATTCTTTAAAAATCGTATCACTTTTTTTTTTTATAAAGAAGGTATAAGTGTACCGGTGTACACATTTGAGGGAAAGAATGAATTATCACGTCACACGTGGGAGGGAAAAAGCGCTGCTAAATTGGTTGAGTGGAAGTATGACGAATTTTATAGGTTGGAGAGAAATTTCGAAGGGGTGTGATCCCTTTTTTCGAGCAGGTATTTACGTAAGAAGCGTTACAGTAGGCGCCAGTGTCGTAATCCAGAATGAAGCAGGTAAGTTAATATTTTTCACGATAGGCGAAGCTCCGCCTTAATTTTATCTGCGTGAGGCAGGGATGTACGAAGAGGAGGCGCGCATAAAACTGACCGGCGCTATGCCAGGTGCCACCAGTCTCGGTTCCAACACGGGACAAACCTGTTACGCGTTTCTTTCCAAGTGGGATCATGTTCTGAAACAACTCAAACGACCATTTTCAAATTCCTTCTCCAAGAGAAACGTATTGAAACGTTCGAGTGATATATCTTCGAAGTGGATCGGATTTTCTATCCGCCAATCAAAAAGAAAAAGTGAGTGAAAAACGCTTGGATATTTCGAAAAGTCGAAATCGTAGAGTAGCTTGAGAAATAAAACGCAGCAACCGACTCTTTCGGAATCTTTTGGAAAAAGAAAAGTAAAAGCAACAAAGAGAAGTAACGTAAAGAAAAGAGAACACGTAAAGAAGATATTTCATCCCAGGTATTTCTTTGCTTGCGAATGACGTTTATTTCGTCTGTAATCCCGATAAATGGCGGTGAAAAATGTCACGATCACGTACACACGCTTTAGCCGAGAACGTGCTTAATCAAACATGAGTTTCATTGGCACGCACTAGCCCGTCTCTCCTTCGAATTACATTCCAGCCGGCAATTATCATGAACATCGATGAGTTTCAAGTACGTGGCAAGGAGATGATCGAGTATATTTGCGAGTATCTCCGCACCTTGGAGGGAAAGAGGGTGACGGCGAACGTGGATCCAGGGTATCTAAGGCCCCTACTTCCCAAAGAAGCTCCAGCGAAAGGGGAATCATGGGATGCCATAATGAGGGACGTCGACAGCAAAATAATGCCCGGGGTGAGTGTCAACTATGGGCTCGATTATCGATCCCCCTTCGTTGATTCCGACCTCTTTCGATGTTAATAATATTCACGAATACTAAAAAAATAGGAAAAACCTGGTCGATCATAAAGCAACACTTTTCATTATCGTTAGATCATCCTATTTCCAATATTTCTTTGCTAATTTAATGTTCGTGTGTTGCGGAGTTTTTAAACTCATACCTCGACATTGAAAAATTCGTATAAAAATTTTTTTTACAAATCTTTACGTCCAATACAAACGTCGATTACTGAGAAAACACGGATGGTTTACAGATCACACACTGGCAGCATCCACGTTTTCACGCGTACTTTCCAGCGGGTAACTCGTTCCCTTCGATCCTCGGGGACATGCTGTCGGACGCAATCGGGTGCATAGGTTTCTCTTGGGCGGCGAGCCCGGCCTGCACGGAACTGGAAACGATCGTACTCGACTGGTACGCAAAAGCGATAGACCTACCAGCGGAGTTCCTAGCTGAACACAAAAGCTCGAAAGGTGGTGGAGTGATACAAGGGTCAGCCTCCGAGTGTATTCTGGTCACCATGCTTGCGGCACGTACCCAAGCGATTCGAACCTTGAAGGAGCAAGACCCGAACACCGAGGACTCGGCCTTTCTACCACGGTTGGTCGCCTATTGTTCCACAGAAGCTCATTCCTGCGTCGAAAAGGCAGCGATGATCAGTTTGGTGAAGCTTCGAGTTCTTGAACCAGATGAAAAAGGTTCCTTGCGAGGTAAGCGACTGGAATCTGCGATCCGCGAAGACGTGGCAAACGGTTTGGTTCCGTTTTATGTCTCCACCACACTTGGCACTACCGGATCCTGTGCGTTCGATAATTTAGTCGAAATCGGACCAGTGTGCAAACTGTATCCTAACATGTGGCTCCACGTGGACGGTGCTTACGCTGGGAACGCGTTCATTTGCCCGGAAATGAGGCCGTTGATGACGGGTATCGAGCACGCAGACTCGTTCAACACGAATCCCAACAAGTGGTTGCTCGTTAATTTCGACTGTTCCTGCCTTTGGGTACGGGATCGAGTGAAGCTCACGTCGGCGCTCGTCGTCGATCCATTGTACCTTCAGCACGCTAGATCCGGAGAATCTATCGATTATCGTCACTGGGGAATTCCTTTGAGCAGACGATTCAGAGCGTTGAAATTGTGGTTCGTGATGAGATCGTATGGAATTACAGGATTGCAGAAGTACATAAGGAACCATATCAGGCTGGCGAGACGGTTCGAGACTCTGATGAGAAGGGACAAAAGATTCGAGATCACTAACGATGTGAGAGTTGGTCTGGTCTGCTTCAGACTGAAGGAGAGCGATGAGATCAATCAGGAATTGTTGGCGAATATTAATGCATCCGGCAGACTTCATATGATCCCAGCCAGAGTCATGGGAAAGTATATCTTGAGATTCTGCGTGATCAAGGAAAATGCTACTGACGATGATATCGATTATGCCGTGGACGTGATCGAAGAACACGCGACGGAGGTGATGCTCGCTCATTACGAAGGAACAGAAGACGAATTTAGGGCGAAGGGACCAAAGAGTCCCGCTGCATTGGACAAAAAGCTGGTACGAAAGTTCAGCTTCACCAGGAGCGTGACGAGGGACGTTTACAAAAGATCCATTTCGAAATCGAGTCTCCACGACGGTGCTACGCCCATCATGGTCGTCGATGATAACTCGCAGGTCGATACCATTGAGGAAGACGTGTTCTGCAACAGCAGGTAGACCACACCTCAGCTCACGGTGCCTAAGAGGAGGGACCAACTGCTATCGTTGCCGTGAGCTGCTGACGATGATGATCGGTGTAATGTTTTTTCAGGTCGTGACGATCCCGATGATGATATCCAGATGATTCGTGAATTATGTGATAGGAATGCCTCTCGAAACCGGCCGGTCTTGTTTGGAATATCACAACTCCGTTCATCATATCGTTGTTTTTTAGGGAACGAGCAAATCTTGCGACCGAGATAAGTTTCCTTCGAATTACGATAAACTGGAAATTTCGTCCGATAGAAACGATTCTGAAGGTATTTATCGAGAGTGATCGATGAAGAAAGTCTGAAGGGTGTTGTCGATCTAGTGCATTGCACACTGGTCATCGTTTGAGACATTGATACATTCTATTTATTGAAGTTTACTGGAAACCATTTTTCGAGATGTTGGTAAATCGTTTGGGAATTTGCCTTTCTACGCACGATTTTATGCAACGTAAGTGCAACTGGAATTTATTTTCATATTTATTCCGCAACCAACCAAAGCAAGAGATTATGTGCTGACGAGAATAATTGTTCGAATAAACTGTACTAGTTTTGCAATTGAGAAACGATATAATAAACGTGCCCGATAAAATAGAAGAGAAATAATTGTTCGTAGTATAAGCAATTTATCGATTCGTGTAACAATTCAGAGCATATTAAAAAGGAAAAAAATGAATATGTAGCTAGGCAGAAATAAGACTCACTGTTAAGTACATCGATTGTCTCTTAGGCTATTAATAGATATAATATTAAATTATTCCATGAACGAATTATGTACGAATAAAGGATAGTTCTCGATTAGATTACTGTAAATTAGATACGAAATGAAGACCTAAATATTTACGGTTGGAATTTTGTCAGTCGACGCTGATCATAGTGTTAGATAATACACACATTACACGTGTTTACTTTGGGTGTTTTACTTCTGAGAAGACCGATTCGAGTTGTAAGTCGCATTGATATTTCAAACGTGTTTGGATTTTTATCCAATCCAATACAATGTAGATTATATTAATGACTATTTATTTCGTATGTAAGTTTAACGGAATAAAATTGAAATTCGTAAAACGATAACTTTTTTTTATTTTTATCGTATCAAGAATTTTTAATCACGGCTTTAGTTCCTCGAAGTTATCAATCCGTCGATCAAGATGCAACTTATTAACTTTTAAGTACAATTAAGCAGGTCTTGATAGGCAATCTCTATTAGTAAGAAATCATAAGATACCTGAAGGCAACGTAAGATGCAGACAGCTCCGAAGTAAATCATTACAATCATAATTACCAATTTAGGCTATAATTATAACTTATTGAAATATATTTACTAAAAAAACTATTTAAATATTAGAATGGGAAAAGGTATATGATTGTAAAATAGTACCCTTATTCTGAAGAAATATGTCAAACTTTTTTATAGCATATCTTACATTTAAAAGTATAAAATATAATTAGTTAGCTATTACATTTGTCCGCATTGAGATATCGTCACAGGAATTTTTGGTTTGTTGTTTGGCCCTGTGGGAACATTCTCTACTTTCCTCATAACTAGAAGTCCATCGATAACTCTTCCAAAAACAACGTGTTTACCATCCAAGAAATTACATTTGGCGCAAGTGATGAAAAATTGACAGCCGTTAGTGTCTTTGCCACTGTTGGCCATGGATAACAATCCAGGTGAGTCATGTTTTAATGTAAAATTTTCATCAGGAAATGTTCCACCACCATAGATGCTTATGACTCCAGTACCATCGCCGTTCACAAAATCACCGCCTTGGATCATGAAGTCTTTAATGACTCTATGAAATATGGCACCTTTAAAACCTAAAGATACACCGTCTTTTCTGTACTCTCCGGTGCAGAATTGTCGAAAATTCTCCGATGTTTTTGGACAAACATCTTCGAAAAGCTCAAAAATCATTCGTCCGATTTCTGTAGTGCCTACAGATACGTCGAAAAATACCACTGGGTTATTCGGATTTCGTAGTTGAGCTTGAATTTGATTCCAAGTTGGCATATTTGTATATTTTGATTAAAAACTTTAAAAACTTTTCTTGCTATATTCTACTATACTATTATGCTTCAATTAAAATAATGTTGCAGCAACATAACCTCTTCACCTTATGAACACGTTTCTTGCTTTAATGTTTGAGATTGAAAAATCTGGTAAAGTGTTTTTTTCCACTTCAATCTAATAAGGCTTAACTAAATTTGTTTTTATGTAATTACAGTACGCTTTTATTTTTATGAATTCTTTTACCTTACGTTTGAAGCACAAGACACAAACACCTTAGAAATGCTTCGTCGAGCTGATCACAAACGCGGGAGAAATATATTAATGCTAAATATAGGTTAGAATTTAATGCTAAACAAAATTTAAACTAATATTAGAGAGTATAACGATATATGTCAAAATTAATTATATTTATAGATACGTAATAAAAAAATCCTTCTATAAAGAATACTATCATACTTTGTAACAAATAAAAACACGTGTATGTGTGTATTTTCTTATTTTTAAAAGATATTAGTACTTACTTTTTTGTCGGCTGCTTTTCTACGGATTTAGTAAAGACTTATTGAAATCACTTAACACGTTACAAAATGATACAAAATGTAATTATGAATTATAACTGTTTCCGTCACAAAATAATACACACTTGTATTTTGGCCCAACAACAACACGTGGTGAGTTTGGTTACTAACTTCATACTGGCAAAACGCGCGGTAATACAAATGCGAAGGGTGAAGGATAAATTTACACGATGCGGTATTAAAAAGAAAAGTGTTTTAATATAAAGTAAATGTAGAAAATAAAATGCATTTTATTATCGCACCACACATTCTACATCTTAAGTGTCATTTGACTTAATTATAATTTAGATATCGAGAAATGATATTTAAATTCAAGATCAAACAATTCGTAAATTGCATCAAAGCAGAGATATATAATCTTGAGATTATTTTCTTACGATATGTTTTTTTTTTAAATCTTTAAGACAATCAGTAATGTGCTTTACATAATATATAATCTTTATCTGTATTTTATTTTAAAAGATACACATTATTTTACCACATGTATAATGTATGATCTAAATGTGCAAAAGCATTTTGAAGAAACAAAACCAAATTAATTAAAAATGTATAAATATCATTGAAATTCCCTGTTTCTTTTTAATATCAGTGCATTTGTAAGACACATAGAAGATTGGTGCTTTACTACTACTATTGGAAACGATATTTAAAGTTATATTTAGTTTTTTTTTCCCTTTCAATAACATAAGGAATCCTCAAATTTGTTATTTTCTAGATAGCCACATTAATAGCATGAGAATATCACAAACTTGGATAGTAATAAAGTAACAATAATTATATGTGAATTTTAACGTGTTCCATCAACACATTTTTATCATTAAAATCTTCCCCGCAAATACCACAGACTAATTCTTCTCCATCATCACTGTCTTGCTGATGATATTGTACAACTTGTATTACAGCCGTTTGGGATCCTCCCTCCTGTATTAATGATTCCTGTCCAACTTCACTGTGATTCTTGATATCTTGATTTTGCCTAGTTGAATGGTGAGTTACCATATCCATTGGTAAATCATCATTACTTATTTGTGCAATTTGACTGGAAAAATTTTCATGACTCTGAGGATTTGGTAGTGTCAGAACAGGCAATGATTCATTTTGCTTTGATATTAAATGTAAAGTATTTGTTTGCTTTGAAGCCTGTATTAAATGCATTGTAGTTATTTCATTATGACTGCTTGTGGTATGAAGTGCACTTCCTTCTCGTTCTGTAGAAACTATGCGAGTTGTATTTAAAGATTCTCTATGACTATGATTAGCTTGTGAAATATGAATATTTTCATCTTGTTTTTCATCAACTAATAATTGTACATCTTCAGATTTAATTTCAGATATTGCAATATAATTTTCATCACGTTTTTCTGTAGTAACTACAAGGAAAGTATTATTTTGTTTATCACTTAAAATTTGTTGGTCATCTGATTTATCTGATTCTGTAATAGACAAAAGTGCTTCAGTTTCCTCTGATTTAGGAATTATAAGATTTCCAGCTCCTTGTTTTCCTTGTAAATATGTATTTGCAGACACTTTTGATTTTTTCTTAACTGGTTTGGTTTTTGGTGCATTATTGTTTGTTTTAGCTTTTGCTTCTGCAATCATTTGATCTGAATGTTTAACAATATGTGCACATAATTCATCCCGATCTTGATTTAAAGCACCACATATAGGACAGGAAAAAGGGGGCCCGGTTACTTCAGTTTCATTTTTTCCTGCTGCATGAACCCATCGAACATGTTCTCTTAAAACAACTTTTTGATTAAATGCTCTTGAACATAGAGGACAAACATGAGGTCTCTCTCCTGTGTGAATACGTTCATGTTTCCTTAAAGTTCCACCATCTCTAAACGCTTTCCAACAAAATTTACAACCATATGGCCTTTCTCCAGTATGAGTTCTATGGTGTATTAAATATCCCTGTCGCGATGAAAATGTTTTGGAACATGTATCACAATGAAAATGTGCAGGACTCCCAGCATGTGTTCTACCATGTTCCCAAAGTCCTTGACGCGATACAAAACTTTTACCACATTCTGTACAAGTAAATGGAGAGTCACCAGGATGAGCTGATAATCTGTGTTCATCCAACTGATTTTGCTTCTCAAATTGAGATCCACATACTTCACAAGAATGTGTTTTCTTTCTATGAATCCACTGATGTCTGAACATTTTTTGTTTGGTTGTAAATTTTTTGCCACATTCAGAACATGCATGTTTACCCCATTTATTATTAGGTGTACCTTGTTCAACATTATTTTGCATTAATTTCTTCGCACAAGTTGTTTGATGAGTTGCTAAGTGATTGCCATCTTGAAACTGTTTATCACAATACTCACATTCAATTGGCATGTTCCAATTTTTAGATGTATGAGTTTTCTCATGGGATACCAATGCTGTCGCGCGAGAAAAACTAATTCCACAATGTCTACAAGTATGCTGTTTTGTACCATTTGTTTCAACTTCTATATAATTCTTTCTATCTTCACTATTATACGATAAAGTTTCAACTTTCACCATTGTATCAGCATTATTAAATGAATTTAATGAAAGATTGTATTGCTGATTGACTTGATTATTTATATTATTTTGTTGAGTATATTCAAACTGTGTTACTTCTCCATTTGGCATTACAGTAAATTCATGTAAAGTGTCTATTTTTTCCTCAGGATTAGATATTGAATTAACTGCTGCCTGCTCACTTTGAAAGTTATAAGATGGAACTGTCCATTGAACTGTATCATAGCTTTGAACCGTTTGTACAGATGAAGATGGCACTTGATTATTTTGGGACTCTGTCATATTTTCAGGCCATTTTCTGAATGTTTCCTCCGACTGTGATACATTATCACTCTGTGACTGCATAATGGCACGTCCAGCAACATATGTATGAATTTTCATATGATTGGATAAACTAGAAGGCCTTTGAAAATCTGCTCCACATATGGTGCATTTATGAGGTTTTTGCACTTGATGCACTTGCAACATATGACATCTTAAATTGTTCTTTGAACGAAACAAGTTGCCACAAGTTCTACAAGCATGTGGGCGATCTACTTGATGACAAACTATATGATTGTTTAAATCTATTTTTCTTTCGAATCTTTCTCCACAAGTAATACATGATAATTTACTAGCAGAACAGGTAGTAAGATGCTTTGTTATCTCAGCTTGTGTGAACATGTTTGCACAACGCGAACATACTTTTTTGTCTTCGAAACAAGGATACATGCCTCCAAGTTGTCGTAGAGCTTCCACAGCCATTGATTCATCATCCCCGGATGTATATTGATGTTGTTCTTCTTCTTTAATATATATAGGATATACTACACGATTTTTATCTTCCTCCTCGGAATGTTTTGCTAATATCTCAACTGCAACCTGTGCTTCTGTGATACTAGAATTAACGTCTGTAACAGATACTTCAGTGAGTCCTTCTTGTAGAACACATTCGTCAACTGGTTCACATATTTCTTCATGAGATATAATATTATCCTGTATACTATCGTGTACCTCTGAAAGGGGAAATGTAACATACTGCTCATTCTCATGAGCTTCCATCGTGCAATATTTTTGCAAAATGCTATCAACTGAAATTTTTGTGGACCTAGTTTCACCTCATGTTAAGTTAGGTCCTGTCACCACTAATAACCAAGCGGTATTTATCAATATACAGAAACGCATTACAAACGATCGTGTTATTCACATTTCACTGTTACGTTTAGTTGTGATGTTATTAAAAATACATAATATGTATTTTTCTCTTTCACACTTTAATTCGATACGATCTATTGTCAAATCTTATCTTTATTGATTACAAATAACGTTTATTGCAATTTTATTGTGTATATGTTACCCATATAACAACATGACTAATAATATATTTTACCACCCGTAATTTATTTGTTATATAAATTTGTAAATTCACCATTGGAACAATAGTATAACAAGGTTATTTGGAGGAGTGCAGCAAATCGTGCGCCACCTGAAGTTGACGGCGTTCTTTGCGCAGTGCCAAGTTAAACTTTTTATATTTCAAAAAGGCTGGTGAACCGTGTTTATAAGTATTCAAGTATTTCTTCTGTAATAGAATATTGTACTTGTTTGTGATACAGTTGTTTGTCGGTTTCTTCATATATAAGCATAATCTTTCTTGACAAATAATCTCGCACGTGGAAATTAATCACAGTGTTATTAATGTGGTATTCGTATTTGGTTAATCTGGAATCTTTGGTTAATCGTGCTTCATATATACAAAGTATGTATGTATACTTTAATTATAACTCTTTATAAATTGATGCTTTTTTGCAACTTACAAAAGATTTAACTATATGTTATGCGTTATAATTGATTTTTCATTATTTAAAAATATATTTTTAATACTGTCACAAAATAAAAAGTAAGGGCTAATATATTATTTAATAGTTAGCTTAAATAATAAATAGATACTTTAACATAATATATACAAAGTGAATCGTATAATAAAGATCGTTAGAAATTCGTATCCCAATCGGAATAGTCCATTGGTGCCGATCTGTAATCTGGAGGATATTTATCGAAATTTCTTAAGTCGAGATGATCCCTTACCTGTGAATGAATTAGATAATGAGATTAGCTGTTTCAAAGATACATAACATTCTGACAATTTCTTATTTACCTTTGGCACAATAGGGGAAGGCATTGTTTGGCTCTGTAACTCCTGCCATTTAAAGTTATGGAACCATCTGAAATTAATTTATGTTATGTAAATATTAATATTTAAATTAATAAATACAAATATATTTTACAAATTCGTTAATAAATACTTATGGTTATGAATGTCAGCAACACCATTTCGTAAATAACCAAGTCTTTTATATGGATCATCTTCCAGTAGTGATTTGATAAAATTCTTTGCCGTGTTTTTAATAATGGGCGGTACAAGTATATCCTTAAAGCCACGAAGAATGTTCTTATACACTTCTATATCACTTACATCTTGGAAAGGTGTTCGATTCGTTAACATCTCGTACGTAAGAATTCCAAGTGCCCAATAATCAACGGCCCTTCATTAATAAAAAATAATCAATCGCTTTAAGAATTAATTTAGAACTTAATAAATATGTAAACTAAACATGAGAATGCGTACTGATTATAAAGTTTACTTTGAATGATTTCCGGAGCCAAATATTCTGGTGTACCCATAAAAGTCTTTGTCTTGTATGGGCCAATTTTTTTACTAGATCCAAAATCAGTCTGTAAAGATAGCTGAGTTAACGAATGAATTTATTATCGATTGTTATTTATTCGAAATAAAAGAACTTGCAAGCTTAGCATAGCCTCGATTATCGATTACGATGTTCTCAGGTTTTAAGTCTCTGTAGATGATGCCCAGTGAATGAAGGTGTTGAAGTCCTTCTACGACACAAGCGGTTACGAATTTAGTTGTTGAATTATCGAATCGGCCGCTTCTGTATAAGGCTGTTCTTAAATCTCCGCCTAAACATACTTCCAGTAGCAGGTATAGATACCTATTGTCCTTGAAGGTTCTGTATAATCTACAAGGAACGTAGAATTATGCATCGCTTAATATATATCAAGTCGTTATTCGGTGGCAAATATTCTTCAAGTTTTACATTATAAATTCCAATACAAGCATTAATAAATTAAAGAATCACTAGATCGAATCTTTTTCTTTCTTAGCTTTCTTTAATTACGTATAGTATATTCTAAAAAAAAAAAAAAAAAAAAAATTCGTTTACAAGCGGTTACGAATTTAGTTGTTGAATTATCGAATCGGCCGCTTCTGTATAAGGCTGTTCTTAAATCTCCGCCTAAACATACTTCCAGTAGCAGGTATAGATACCTATTGTCCTTGAAGGTTCTGTATAATCTACAAGGAACGTAGAATTATGCATCGCTTAATATATATCAAGTCGTTATTCGGTGGCAAATATTCTTCAAGTTTTACATTATAAATTCCAATACAAGCATTAATAAATTAAAGAATCACTAGATCGAATCTTTTTCTTTCTTAGCTTTCTTTAATTACGTATAGTATATTCTAAAAAAAAAAAAAAAAAAAAAAATTCGTTTTCACGTTAGGACAGAGTTGTTAATTTACTTGCAGATAAACGGCGAATTACACAATTTCAAACTATTCTTCTCGTTATACATCATTTTTTGGAAGCCACCCTTTGTGATCATATGCTTGAGGATCTTTTTCCTGGCGAAACTAAGGTTAGGCATCGAATTGACGACGACCAGTTCCACTCTGCCGTAACCTCCAGCTCCGATCGTCCCTTCAAATACAGTATCAGACAGAGTTAAATTCTTGAATTCGTCACCCCAGTCATCCGACTCATTTACACTGTAATATCCTGACCAATCTCTATTTCTGATCGAGTCTAGTCCACCAAGATAATCTAGGAAAGCTCTATAGCATCACACAAAGACATATTTTGTTAACAAATTTATAAACTTCGTGATAAACTTTTGTTAATTCTTCATCGTGAAATTATCGGAAAACATTTTATACGTTTACCTTTTTTCAATCGTGTAACATTCCAATCCAGGAGCCATTGCGATAGCATTCGCCTGTCGACGAGATTCTTCAGAGTCATATAGCGCCTTTTCACCGAAATAGTCACCCTTCTCAAGAATTGTCATTTCCTCTTCCGTGCCACCTGGTTTATTCTTCGTGATTTTCACGCTACCACCGTTTATAATGTAGAATTTATCTCCTTTGTCGCCCTCTCGAATCACGTACGAATTCGCTGGATAAAATTCCTAAAGCGATACAAAAATAGCGTCTTTTAATTTCGAGTTAGCATTATTGGAACCATTTCACACGCACCACTGTTATAAGGTCGCATATTTTCTGCAGAACCTCCTCCGACAGACCCTTGAATATTTCAATTTGACGAAGAATCTTCAAATTATGCTCCAACGATTCTTCGTTATCTTTTAGCATTACCGTCTGAAACGCCTGTCTTTCCAACACCCATACTTTCGCATTTGTACTCGCTAAAGGAACAAACGAGCGTCTCGACAGTTACAATAAAATATTTTATTAAGTTTGTTAAATGGTTCCTAAAAGATTTTAAGATTTATAGTATAGCTAGTATAATACCATGGATAGAACACAGTCTTTTGGTATTGTACAACAAGGCCAGTTCTCCGAAAGCGACACCAGGACCAAAGCTCTCGTGGCACGTATTGCCTACGTAAACTTCGAAGGTTCCCTCTTCCGAGACGTACATATGCGATCCTGATACAATCGATTACCATTATTTTTCTAATATTTCATAGATTAATATCTTGTCATTTCGAAAGATGATTACTTACCGACTTCACCTTCGTGAATGATTCGCGTATTGGCTTTCACCTGTTCCGGATACATCACCGATATAAGCTTCTCTATACGCGACTCATCGAGATCTCCGAGGAACTGGTTGTTCAAAATGGCGTTTTTGATCAACTGTTTCGTTCTACAATTGTACATAAAACTTGAATTTATCGTAATTTCGAATCATTGTCGAAAGAATAGTTTAAAGTTGTTTGTTCACTTTTCATTTTTCTTGAAAACGGTGACTGGCAGATTGGAGGATACGTTTATTTCACCGATCACGCCATGTTTTCTTTGAAGGGACAGTTGTCGAAAGTAAGCGTCGGAATTGCGTCGATCGGACCCAGACGCGCCCATACGTACACCAGTACGTTTTCCGAAGCATAGACGCATTCTTAATTTTCCGTTTCTTTCTTTCGCCTAGAAAGTAAAATCTTTGTCCGCAGGTGTTTACGTTCGATCGTAGGTCACTCAGTCAAATATATATAAACTTGATGTAATTTCAGATTTTTTAAAATAGATGTTAATTCTTGGGAAGTTCACCAATTAGTGTTTAAATGTTCACAAATGAAATGGTTCGAAGAATTAGTGCACAGGATATTGATACTTGACTGATGCTTTGTAGCAACGATAAAGTTGATTGATCTTATCTTGTATGAACGCAGCGATGATCCGCCAGTACTTACGGTCTTAGTAATTTTGTTTGATAAGGCAATTAAAAAATATATTTTTTTCGAAAGTTATCAGAATTTCCTTCGTTCAAATCACTGTATTACCGAGTAGCACCTATGTTAATTTAATAAAGCGTGTGTTCTTTCTATTAATTTAATATACCGTTTATAGTTATATGCGTGTCTGTATTAAAATTCGAACGAGATTTCATCAGAAACGAAAGGGAAATAAATTAGTAGCACAGATTAACAACTCATGTACCTATAAATTTATTATCAATTAGTAATATTAAAATTATCATGGTTAAAATTATTATCGATCGCAGAGTATCTTTTTGTTCGCTTTCTACTTCTTTTACAAGAATTATATATATATTGCTATTATATATTGCTAATTAATTACAGTTTAGTCATAAGATACAAGATTAGTGTCTTCATACATTAGTGTCTTCGAATGTAAGAAACATACATAGGAAACTACGCATCTGTAATATACGAATCGATTAAAGATAACGATTATCTCTTTGCTATCGGTATGCTTTTATTGTAGGGCATTATTGTAAACATTATTTTCATCCTTCATGTGCACTTTTTGTATCATTTCACGACTCTTATCAAACGTTTAATGGAGAAATCATGTACAGCTTAGATTATCGTGCGATTTTTCCTGCTTAGAAGCTCGCGTCCCATCCAGAGAACTCGTCCGGTGGAACATTACGATCCGGCGGATACTTTTCGAAATTCCTCGTATCGGTCGGATTTCGTATCTAGGATTTTATAAAAGAGGATAAGTGGTGAGTTTATTTAAAAATTAATATATTTGTAATAATACGTAAAATAGATTTTACGTACTGTTGGAACGATTGGCGCTGGTAAGGTTAATCTCTGCAAGGCTTGCCAATTAAATCCATTGAACCATCTATAAAAATGTTATTTCGTTAAAAAAGCTTGTACTTTCTATTGGAAGAAACGCGATAAACGATCTATTTAAAGATCTAGTTCTACGAAACGAGGAAATTCTACTGAAGCGTTTAAATGAACTCTGTTTAAACATATATATTTGCATAAATAGAAACTTCAGTGCGTTTTAATTGAATTTATTTAAAATAAATTATTTAATTGATAAATTTACTTGTGATCTCGAATATCTTGGATGCCATTTCTTTGGTAGCCAAGACGTTCAGAAGGACTTAGACGAAGAAGCTTCTTGATGATACTGCTGGCGTTTCTGCTAATGGAATTAGGTATTCCGACCACTTCGATGCCCTTCAGAATTTTGTTGTAAATGGACATATGATCAGAACCTCGGAATGGTGGCTTACCGATTAGTAGCTCATGAGTTAAAATCCCGAGAGCCCAGTAATCCACCGCCCTTTGAATAAATTAAACTTATCTTAAAGTCACCTTCGTTATTTTATTTGAAACTGATTCAGCGTATCTTTATAGAATATTTTACGTTTACTATTTGTTAATTATTTACCTATCGTGTCCTTTGTTCAAAATAATTTCTGGCGCCACGTACTCGGGCGTACCAGCGAAAGTCCACGTTTTCGATGGCCCGATCTTTTTACTGAAACCGAAGTCAACCTGGAAAATGTGTACAAAATCGCGTTTTACCTATTTTCTTGTAAACAGAGTCGAGCTATTGACAATCGACTTTCCTCAAACTGTTATCGCTTACTAGTGATTATCAGATCGAACTTACTAGTTTTAAGTATCCACGAGCGTCGAGCATAAGATTCTCTGGCTTTAGATCACGATAAATAATGTTCATCGAATGAAGATGATCCAAAGCTTCTACCACGCATCCTACCATGAATTGTGCGGTTGACTCATCGAAGACTCGTCTTCTTTGGAGAGTTGTCCACACGTCTCCACCTAGAGAGACTTCCATCAGGAAATATACGTATTTCCGGTCCTTGTACGTCTGGTAGAGCCTAAATAAAGGGAAGGAAAATTATATTTCTGAATTATTTGATTAATAGAACGCGGATATCTATGCAAATTAATATTTTAGCAAAGATTTGCCTCATTCACCAAATATTATAAAGTAGATAAATTAACATTATAAATTACACATATTATACAATGCTTTACTTTGGATACTATATACATTTTATATCGAACACTCTATATATTATGTGCATCCTTTCATTTTTATAAATCCGCGGGTTATCAATTGATAAGATTTTTTTTAGTACTGACTTGCATATGAATGGAGAATCACAGGCTTGCATAATATGTTTCTCGTTCAGCACGTGTTCCTGTTGCTGTTGCTCGACCATCACCTTCTTCTTCAGTCTCTTGAGAGCAAAACTCTTCTGAGGATCTGACTTTAAAGTGACTAATTCCACTCTGCCGAACCCTCCAACTCCTAGCGTTGCTTTGGTCTCCAAATCGGCCAAAGTGACGTTCGAATACTCGCTAGTCCACTTCTTCAGCGTCAGCGATTGTTTCTGTCTTCCGTATTCCGCTAACCAATCCTTGTTGCGTATTTCGTCGAGGCCACCCAAATAATTCAGGAAGGAACTGAAGTTTAATGTTGTTTAAAAGAGCATGAATATTTCCTGAGAACTCACGAGACGAGAAAGTTTATCGTTACTGATTTATGTATAACTCACTGTTGGTCCAAAGTTAAACATTCGACACCAGGCGCCAGTGCAATGACGTTGGCGTGTCGACGATTTTCACCAGTGTCGTCGTAAAGAGCTATTTCTCCAAAGTATTGACCCTTTCCAAGGACCACTAGCTCTTCTTCGTCACCATCCTCGGTGTCTTTTGTTATTCTAACGTTTCCACCGCTGATTATGAAAAATTTGTCACCTTTTTCTCCTTGCGTAACTATTTTTGCTCCAGCAGGATAAAATTCCTATCGGGAAGATATATACTTTTTACTTTCAGAACCAGATTTGCATTCGGATGGTCATTAGTAAATTGCAGATTTTTATGCGATTTTATACTTCTATGAACGTAAATAGAATCTAAACAGACATTTGTTTCATTCGCTACATACTACAGCGAATACTTTGCTTTGAATATTTCAGATACTTTTGCCATATTACGCTCATTCCGCGTATCTTTACACTTTCAAATTTCCTATAAACGCATAAACATCTACGATCTAATTATTAGAAATACAAAATATATGTATTTACCACGCGGAGAAGATCGGAAATCTTAGCGAGCACGTGATCCTTTGGCTCGGGCAATTTTTGGAGAACAGAAACTTGTTTAAGGAATCGAATGTTTCCTTCCAGCCTTTTCTGCGTTGTGTCAATCATAACAGTGAGAAACACGGATCGGTCGAGGACCCACACCTTTCCACCTTTCTTTACTGAAAGTTAAACGTGACTTCTTTCAATAGAAAATACAGTTATTAATTATTTTATAATATAATCTACTATATATTTACCGCTGATGGATCGAAGTCTCTTGGTGTTGTATAGCAAAGCAATTTCTCCGAACGCGATGCCAGGACCAAAACTTCTTTGGAAATTGTCACCCTCATAGATATCGAACTCTCCTTCCGCTGACACGTACAGGTGCGATCCTAAATTATACATTAAGAAAGGAATTTAGAAAAGCGATATTAATACTTATGCAAATATTTCACATTTATTTCGTTCGAAGTTACATTTATTAATCGTGTTATCAGTCTATCAAATCGTACGAAGGATCTTTATTTCTTATGTAAATTTATCTATCACTGTATTATGAATTTTTATGCATTTGTTGAAAATTCGAAGAAAAAATTCCCGGAATGCGGATAATATGCAAAAATATGTAAAACATCCGAAGAATAGATTTCATTTTTTTCAAACTGTATCTTTACACAAATATGTATTTGCATAGATGTCTGTAGTCTAATTATTCCATAGATAGCTAAGAAAGTTTTTCGCTCTAAAGTGAAATATTCCACGTTCGTGATAAGAATGATTCAGCTATTGTCAGACGACAACTAATATAGAAAAAGAAATATTATAATTTTACCCATATCTCCTTCTCGAATCACTAAGGTGTTCGGTGGTATATGTTTCGGGTACATGGCATCGACTAACGCTTCCACCTGATTTTCCTCAAGGTTACCAAGAAATTCGTTCTCCAAAATGGCCTTTGTAATCTGTTGTTTACTCCTATAGGGAACAAACAAAATATATGTAGAAAATGTATCATTATTTAGAATGGATCGTTCAATTATTTTTTCTTTAAATTACTTTTCGTCCTTTTCGTAAACAGGAGTTGGCTCAGAGAGTGGCGTTGGAGTTTTGCCGATGATACCGCCTCTGGGATTCGCAGGTTGATCAGAACCATCCGAAGTTCTGACAGGATCTTGTTCGTTCTCATTGTGATTTTGTTGTGGTGGCAATGGTGCCCTACTTTTTCCATGGGACTGTACAGGTGGGCCGATTCCATTAGATATTACCGTAGCAGGTAAGGGTCGTATCTGTATTAGAAATAAAATTTCCTTATTAAATTAAACATTTTCTATGATTTATCGATTGTTTAAATTGATTTATCGATCAATTCTTTTTAACATTCTGCTATTTTCTAACATGCCTTTTACCTTAATGAAACACAATGAATATTTTGTTACGAATATGATATATAAACATTGGTGATATGTATGTTTATTTTAGAATCGTTAAACTTTTCTACATCTGTCTTTATATTACTGATTCTTATGAAATTTCAATTTGTTAATTAGTATCTGTTAGCTCTCACGAAACTACAATATGTACATACTCTATTTGCCTAATGTCTTCCTAGAGATAAAGAAGTCAAAACAGATATATCTATTTAAAGATCTTTACATCTTCGTAAGAATATTTTTGTGTCATTGATTTTTACGAAAATCTTACGCGTCCGTTAATTAGTACCCGTTAATTTACGAAATGATGTACTCTGCTTAATCGGAGAGATATTTTTAAATACTCACAACGCCATGAGTCAGATCTGGTTCACCAGATTCTTTGTAGCTCGTTACCACT